CCCCCGATAATAAGACCTCCCCGATAATAAGGCATCCACCGATAATAAGGCATTTTTCATTTCTGAAAAATAAGACATCCCCTGAAAATAAGACCTAGCGCATCTTTGGGAGCAAAAATTAATATAAGACACTGTCTTATTTTCGGGGAAACAGGGTAGGTATACGTGCATATTTGTTTTACATGCAAAAAACCCAGCAAGAAATCTTATATCATGTTTTCAATCTCCAATTTATTTGGTCCTATTAGGTTATATTAGCTTAGTTGCAGAGGCTCTACTACAGAATAGTAAGGCAGGGTACTTACAATATGTATTTCAGATATGACTAAATAAGAAATTACAGTTTATATGACCTCTCATGGTATTTAACAATATAACTGATCTAAAACATAGTCTGTGTGTGTGACACATGCACAAAGGTGCAGAGTTATGGTTAAATAGTATCTTAATTATACATTCCTTGATTTTGACAGCTTGATTTTGCAGCCTTAGTATGGCATTAATGTAGAAGGCCATAGCTACCTGTTGTGGGACATTTATATTCAGATCCTGCATTTGCTGCTTCTTTTGGCTGAAACACTAGTGGGGCAGATTCTCACGAGCATACAGCCATCCTTACTAGCATAAAGGTGGGGGGAGCACACAAGGACTCTCTGCCCCAGCACAGGGACCTGTCAGAATGCAGGTTGGGGACTGCAGGGACTTGTCTCAATGCACTCCAGACAGTTCACATGGCCCCAAACTCCCTTCTCACTGGCTCACATAGTGGGACAAACACACAATAGGGCTTACACTGTACTAGGATTATGATGTCCTCATGTGCATTAGAGAGCTCCAGAAGGCATTCTACATCCATATACTAGTAGCTATTCATCATCATTAAGGCAAAATGCTTGCCAGAGTTCCTCCAGGGCTGGTCCTGCTGTACACTGCCCCCCTCAATGCAGGCCAGTGTACAATAAGCATCATAGATACCTTTATGTTTTACCTAGAATCTAATGAATGTGCCTCCTAGGTAATGGAGCCATTAGTGCAAAGATTCACATATCTTCTTTGGGAAATAACAGGAATATAAATGAAAGAATAATTTTTCATTTTCTGTTTCTCATGATTAAGTGTACAGCTGGAATATATTAGTAACATCTCTAAATGTTCTTACATTAGCACTACTGGCCGATCAAAAAGTTCATCTACAATCATGTCAATACTTTAGCTCTGATTTGTTTATTTCAAGAACTATGTTACTAGCATTCAGAAGATATTTAATATTCATTTACTTGAAATTAAAACAAAATTTGGGGTACCACTATGTCCCTAGTGCAGTAAAATATATATATGAAAGATGGCCATATACATTTGTCTTTAGATTGTGAAGCATCACATTCTGACATTTAATCATAATTCCCTGCAGTCATCTGCTCTGAATCATTTAAGCACAGATTAATAAGAAGGTAATTTGGGTGTTAGGGATTTGAAGCTATTTTGCATGTACAGTGGTAGTCACTGAAGTCACAGAAACTGGATGTAATGATTTTATAAAAAGTCATCAGGAAATTTATAGGGCTTTGTTCTGACTGGATCTATTTAAATACACAGCCCTCTAAGATGGATCGGAACTGTGCATAATGTTTGGCCTGTGGCATGTCAGAAAGGCATATGGGTGTATACTGCCATAAACAAGAATCTGGACAGGCTCAGGTTGCAAGAGGCAAACTGCATATCCTACCCCAATGCAGGCACCTGCCCCAGATAGAGAGGATTTATTCTTAGGCAGCAGGTGGCAGTACCACATTACTCTCCCCCCAACTATTGCACTTTATCCAGAGCTCCACAGAAACCCCGCTGATGGAGACTGAATGTGGTATGTACTGAATAAGTTTGTTTCACCACTGTCTTGACCCAACCCACTTGCTGGGCAGTGCCAGCTGGCTACAGTTCAGCTAGCTGAGCTGAAGTTGTAGGTGGCTTGTGCACGCTACTTTCCCACCAAACAGATTTTCCACTGCCACAGCTTGATCTTGATAGTTTATGCCATACTTAGCATTCGTAGCATATTATAACACCTCACAATGTGTTATGGGACTCACCAGTTGAGAAGTTCCCGAGGTGAAGGACAAAAATGCTTACTGCTAACATTTAACAAGCTTCTGAAGTAAAACAGAACCCTGAAGTAGTTACGACACAGCTAAGTGTCAGGAAACTAGAACAGCAATATCCAAAACCCTCTGACAGTACAAAACAGTTATCCCTATTGCAAGGGGAAGAGAATATTAAATTCCAAACAGAAAAGGACTGGCAATATGCCACAGCAACAGCTATACCATTCTCACCAAGGTCACGTGTCATAACTGTCTCAGTTCGGGCAATTGCACTTGTATTCCCCCTCTGTGGTCCCTCAAGGACAGAAGGTCCCTCTTCCTGGCTCCTAAGCCACCACCTCTTTTGGGTGGAGAGCTGTCTCTCCCCCTCCCCTCTGGGGATTTTCCACATTGTACAGTTCCCTGCCTACACTATTATCTCCAGCAAGCCAGGCTGCCTAAACAAGCCAGTGTGTGTGCTTTGCTTTCTCTGTAAAGGCTATGAACAACATAATTGCCAGCAGTTATGAACTACCTCACAGCTTTTTATAAGCAAGAATATTTATTCTGACGATGAAAGCATTACAGAGAAAACATATGAAACTAAAGTTTCCTATACACATGCTAAAAGATTACCAGAGGTCACTCATCAGTCTTATGGAGATTCAGTGGGCCAAAGTCCTTCCAACCCTTCCCAGGAAGGATTGCGGACTCCCTTGGACAGAGGGTCCTGTCCACTTACTGGATCAGACAGAAGGCCCTGAGTCCTTAAACATAGGTGATCATCCAAAAGTCCTTCAGCTGTTGGTCTCTGGAGAATCCAGTTTGAACCAGCACATGTGAGCCTCTCCAGGTGGCAGCCCTTCTTTGGATGCATTACAGCCTGAGTGAATTTTCCCAATCACCCCACACTGTTCTAAGTTCCTGGAGGAGCTGTCGTCACCCTCCCCCATGGAATTACTTATCATCCCTGGCCCACAATGATACATACACTTAATATAGGAAGATATTGCAGGAAATTGCTATATCTATCCATATCTGGGGGTCAGTCCAACACAAGAAACAGACAGCCAAACAAAATAATACCACCGTCTAGCTCTTACATAGCACTTTTCATAAGTAGATCACAAAAGAGAACACTGGCTCAGTTTCTTGATAACATCCAAACTACTGTTGACAGTGTTTGTGCACAGAAGAAACACAAGTCTGCTTTGTGAGCAATAATGACAACTAGAAGGAGCAGCAAACATGCCACCGTATAAGTAGCTGTTTTCAGAAGAAGTAGCAGCTGTACAATCAGAAAGCCACAGTCATTCAGAAATAACGGCTATCAATAGATACTAGGGCTGTTGATTAATTGCAGTTAACTCTCGCGATTAACTAAAAAAAATTAATCGCGATTAGATTAATCGCACTGTTAAACAATAGAATACCAACTGAAATTTATTAAATATTTTGGATGTTTTCTACATTTTCAAATGTATCTATTTCAATTACAATACGGAATACAAAGTGTATAGTGCTCACTTTATATTTTTGATTACAAATACTTGCACTGTAAAATTGATAAACAAAAGAAATAGTATTTTTCAATTCACCTCATATAAGTACTGGTAGTGCAATCTCTATCATGAAAGCGCAACTTACAAATGTAGGCTTTTTGTTACGTAACTGCAATCCAAACAAAACAATGTAAAACTTTAGAGCCTACAAGTCCACTCAGTCTATTTCTTGTCCAGCCAATCGCTAAGAAAAATAAGTTTGTTTACATTTACTGGAGATAATGCTGCCCACTTCTTCATTACAATGTCACCTGAAAGTGAGAACAGGCATTCACATGGCACTGTTGTAGTTGGCGTTGCAAAATATTTATATGCCAGATGTGCTAAAGATTCATACGGCTCTTCATGCTTTAGCCATCGTTCCAGAGGACATGCTTCTATGCTGATGACACTTGTTAAAAAAATAATGTGTTAACTAAATTTGTGACTGAACTCCTTGGGAGAGTCTCCTGCTCTGTTTTACCTGCATTCTGGCCATATATTTCATGTTATAGCAGTCTCCGATGATGACCCAGCACATGTTTATTTTAAGAACACTTTCACTGCAAATTTGACAAAATGCAAAGAAGATAACGTGAAACTTCTAAAGATAGCTACAGCATTCAACTCAAGATTTAAGAATCTGAAGTGCCTTGCAAAATCTGAGGGGAATGAGGTGTGAAGCATGCTTTCAGAAGTCTTAAAAGAGCAACACTCTGATGCAGAAACTACAGAACCCAAACCACCAAAAAGTAAATCAACCTTCTGCTGGTGGTGTCTGACTCACGATGATGAAAACGAACATGCAACGGTCTACACTGCTTTGGATGGTTATCAAGCAGAATCTGTCATCAGCATGGACACGTCCCCTGGAATGGTGGTTGAAGCATGAAGGGACATATGAATCTTTAGTGCATCTGGCATGTAAATATCTTGCAACCCCAGGTACAACAGTTCCATGCAAACGGTTGTTCTCACTTTCAGGTGACGTAAACAAGAAGCAAACAGCATTATCTTCTGCAAATGTAAACAAACTTGTTTGTCTGAGCAACTGGCTGAACAAGAAGTAGGACTGATTGGACTTGTAGGCTTTAAAGTTTTACACTGTTTTATTTTTGAATGCAGGTTTTTTCTACATTTGTAAGTTCAACTTTCATGATAAAAAGATCACACTACAGTACTTGTATGAGGTGAATTGAAAAATATTTCTTTTGTTTATCATTTTTTATTACAAATATTTGCATTGTAAAAAAGTGAGCACTGTACATTTTGTATTCTGTGTTGTAATTGAAATCAATAATTTGAAAATGTAGAAAACATCCAAAATATTTAAAAAAATGAATCGCACAATTTAAAAAATGAACCGTGCTTGATCGCATTGTTAAACAATAATAGAATACCATTTATTTAATCACTTGACAGCCCCAATAGATACCACTAAAAGGCAAAATAATTCCAACTTTTGTCATCTACCTTGATCTCCATACAAGACATTGTTTTGCTTTTCTTATAATTGGTTGTATTAGTTGATAGGTTTTTTCTAACTGGTATCATGTTTTATTAGCATTTGATTTTCAAAATAAGGTATAACAACAGCGATTCCAATCCATACTACTGACCCATGTGACAAAGATAGTAAGCTTTTGTAATTCTTATCCGCGTGAGGTGGTTGAGTGAAACAAAGACCTGCATGCCCATCTAACACAATTTATTACACAGGTAGATCTCTGTTTTAGAGATGTGAAAACTGAAGTGCAGAGATTCAGTGACTTGCCCAAGTTGTCACAGAATGTGTAGCAGACATGAAAACAGAAATCACATCTGAATCCCACTCCTGTGTCGCTACAACAATACCATAATTCTTTCCAGGAGCCTCTAGACTATGTAATTCTTAAGCTCACCTATTTAGGCTTGAGTGCAATTAAACTGCTTTAACAACAGCCATTTTGGATCAAGCTACTGTACTATAGGCAGTGACTTCATTTCAATAGCCGAACTACTTCAACAGAAATGTAAGTTCTACAGTAAAAGTAACCACAACTGTGTTTTAAGCGTGAATATTGATATCAGTTTTTAGGGCCACATTTTTATAAATAGGTACAGGCAATTGCACATGCTGCAATATGCATACACAAATACAGTCATTATGAGTGCAATCACAGTAACTGCACATGCAACAAAGTACACCTCTAACAATCCAGCTGCACATATAATTGCATGCCCCCTTTTCTAAATATCTTGTTCATGTTACACATAAATGTGTACAACTTAGTATTGTATATAAAACATTTATTCTTTTCAGAGCACAATTCTTACAAAAATGTAAACCAAATTATTTTTTGGATGGAAAGAACTATCTCCCCCCCGCATTATAAAATACCAATATTTGATCTAAGTTATTTTCCCATCAATTTATTTTCATATTAGACACTCAAATGTTAGAATAAACTAAGAGACAACACTAAACCTGGGATATTGAAAATAACTGGATTTGTCTTGAACTTCATTATGAAATTGGCTGAAAAAAACCTGAGTGGAAAAAAAAAAAAAAGCATCCCTGCCTGTGGTATTAGCTGAATATCTTAACTACTTGGAAACTGTGGCGATGAAGAAGGTTTTTGTGATATGGGTACTTGCCCACCAGAAAAATACAAGGAATCATAAGCGAGGCCTCCAACTTATTTTGCACAGGTGAGTGACTAGTTTTAATAAATGACATGCAGGAGTGAAAGGCTCCAAATTCCATTATCTGAGTTATTCAGTCCTCAAAAATTCTCTAATTATAATTTAAAATATATATGCGAAGCTCTGATTAGAAAGATACATATTATCTGATTAAAAAACGACCTTTTTTAATAGCAGTCTTATTTGAGATTGCTGGGATCCACCCACGCAGCGGTTGAGTGGAGTGACAGCCTGAGCCTCCCATATTTCAACAAGAGGGAAAGATACCCAGAGCTACATTTAACTTTAGGCACATCAGAATCCAAAAGAGAACAACTCAAGTGACTAAAAAAAAGTGTAATTTAAAATTAGCATGAGTTAAATCACAGTAGGATGTGACAGAGCTAATGTGTACCTACACTCATAGATTGCAGTAGCTGTGAAGACAGCATTTGACTTAAAGACATGGATTAGTAAACCACAAGTCATGCCCTGCAGTGTTGAACTACTGAAGTAACACATATCTTGTTTGGTTTTATGCCTCTATGATCACAACAAATATGGGCCCCCTTATGATTACAAACAAGGCCAGGTTTAAATTACACTAAGATCCTACATTTACATCATCACTATTTCCGCCTTGCTTATTGCAGAGAAACATAGGTTAGAATATCTTACAGTATGCCCCAAGGCCAATGGTCACAATAAGATATAATGGAATGCTGTCCCATAATGTATACTACTAACACCAGTAAATATTCCTAAGCTGTATTTGTGTGACTGATGAATTTATTGCCTGAGCGTTAAGATCAGTCTTTCATATCTAGACATCAAAAGGTGTGTGCACCAGATGTAGACTCATCTGAATCACTTAGATTATATTTTTTCCATAAAAAATTATCATTTTGTTTCCAAAGAGAACTTTCATGAACTTCTTTCTTTTTTGTCAAAGCAACAGGAGGTGCTCTTTCACACAACTCCTCTATGACTGCCATGTCTGTGAGCTTTCTGAGACTCTCATCATTCTGCTCATTCAGCACATCCCAGAAGTCTTTTGGTCGTTCTTTTGCTTTTTCTGCAGGCCCTGAAAGAGATCTTCTTGGCAGCTCTGTAGGCCTGTTTCCATTACTTTTGAAGAGGTCATTGAGAACAGAGGTGTCTCCTAGTAAGTCTACAAAAGAGTTTTTCTTGTAAGTCTGAGTTTCTCTCTCTCTGTTTTCTGACTGAGACAGGGATCTTTTTCTTGGAGATTCCGTCCCCTTTGAGTCCTGCTGTCCTTTAGTGATATTTACAGAGCACACTTCAATTATTTCTGATTTACTGCTTACTGAGTCAGTTGCCATAAAATCTTTGAATGGTTGACTGTTTCTCCCACTGATGCTATTTTGGGTATTGACAGTGGACAATTGTTTATCTTTTGAACTAAGACACACAGCATCTTGTATGCAGAAATCATTGTGAAACTGTTTTGCTTCTCCTTTGTGTCTTTTTTGGCTACATATTTCTGCAGTCATGAAGGGAGAATCTTTAGCTGAAGGACCAGACCTTGATTGTCGACATTTTACCCTGGCCCTTCTCTTTCTACAACTTGTAAACACCTCTCCTTCCTCATACCCATCTGAAACATGTACTGGAACTTTGACTGGAAATAGGTCCTCTAATTCTGGATACTTTCCAGCATAAAAATCTCTCAACATTTTCTGTCGTGCTTCTGATGTGGCTTTTGCAATATATTCTGCAAGTTCTTCAACTGAAGCCATGTTGAAGTGGGATACCATTTCTTCAAACTGTTTCCTAAAGCCAACAATAAAGAAAAACAATTACCTTGTCTTAAATTTTTTAAAAAAGGCACAGAGTATAAAATAAAGATACAATCAATTAATTGAGTTTAATTAACTTATATAACACAAACCTAGAAGAGAACTGAAAGGCATACCCTTATTGGTAACAGTACTAGTTCTCATTTCAATTGCAAGGAAAAGACCAAGAGCAAAATATTCAAAGTTGCCAAAGTGACACTGGTCTTGTCTACATCATGGTGGGGTAATGAGCTCTACATGGGCGTGCTTTCCAAAGTGCACTAACATGTTGCTGATTAATAGGTCCCTGTAGACCCTGCTGGTGTGCCTTAACATAGCACTGTTTGAAACAGCTCTAGGTGAAACTGCACTATGGAAACTTTAGCATGCACCAGCATGCTGCAGGGTCTACAGGGACCAATTAATGCACAACACATTAGTGCATTTTAGAAATCACAATGCTGGAGAACATTTCCCCCACGTGCAGACAAAGTCCTTAGTGTTCCAATTTTCAAAAGTGACTTAGGCACTCAGGAGCCTAAACTTTATTGAAAGGCAATGGGACTGCGGCCCAGTCCTACATCAAAAACGTAGGTCGACCTAACTAAATCATTCAGGGGTATGAAAAATGCCTTGAGAGATGTTGTTAAGCCAGCCTAAGACCCAGTGTACACATCACGAGGTCGCCAGAAGAATTCTTCTGTCAACCAAGCTAATGCCTCTCAAGGAGGTGGATTTATTACAGTGCTGGAAAAACTCTTTCTGCCACTGTAGCAAGTTCCACACCACACTGCTGCAGCTACGTCACTGTAGTGCTTGTAGCATAGACTTACTTTTAGGCACCTAAGGGCCAGATTTTTAAAGGTATTTAGACATTGAAGATTCATAAAGGCACCTAGTGGGATTTTCAAAAATGCCTAACACCCACTGAACCAAAATCATTTAAAAAAAATAATCTCACTTGAAAAGTTGAAGGCATAATTTATAGCATACCACCATGTGTCACATTAAACTTGGTAGTAAAATGTTCCTGGCAGGCTCTTCACATGTACAGATGAGACTCGTTCTAATACTACACAGCCACTGGCTCAGATATCAAGTGCTACAATAACACACTGCTATGGTCTTCCACCCAATTCCAGAACATAGAGTAATTTAAAATCTCAAATATTAAAAAGGTCTCTGACTAAACTGGACACATGCAATACATTTTCTATTGATCTGATCCTTGGAACTAAAGCTTGAAATTAGCTCAATTCCTTTGGGTGCAGATGGTCAGCAGCCATTTTTGCAGGCTTCCGAGAGAGTTCAACTCTGAGAACAGAAAGCAAGCTCCGATATAGAGGCCTGTAGACGAGCGCTTCCTTGCTCGCTGTACAAATTAGCCGGAGACCTCTTATTTTGCAACCCAGTGTCCGTTTATTTCCCGGTGTTCATTCCCACCACCATCTATATACAACTCTATGTACAAGTCAATTGCAGTTAGGTAGCCAGCTAGTGCCTGTTGCTAGCTAGGAGCAGCAGTTCCTTACTCCTCCTGTGTCTCTCTCCCCGCTTCCACTTCCTTCCTGTCAGCTTTATAGGCCTTCCTCTCAGCAGGCTCACAGGTGATTGCTCTTAGGCTCCTTTAATGAGCCACACCCTGCCAGCTCCAATCAGTTTCTCTTTATGGGTGCTACACTAGCAGGTTCTGAGCTAACAGGGGCTGGTTATGTGCCTCTTAGGCCAGCACCCTGTTACAAGGCCCATTAGGAACTTCTCAACTCTTAAAATGATGGGCTGCAGCTCATGGAGAACCATTGGGCTACCCAGAAATTACTGAAATGTTCCTTTAGCAATGAGTTCCTTTCAATGCAAGTGTTTTGGATTTTAACATTCACAGTTAATTTGGGAGAGGAAGTGGGATACAATTTTGCTGGATACTGGTAAGGGTATAAATAGTTTATGATTTGATATCTACCTTACTTAAATTCCTCCTCTCATGAAAGGGAAGGAGAGAGAACTAAAACTAGATTATAATTTGATAAAATATACTGTATGGTGATAAGGCAGGAGCCCTACATATAGTTCTAAAAACAAAACACTAAGTCCAATGTTTGGGCAATTCATTAAGAGAGCTCTAAAAGTGAAAAGTATCCTAAATTGGATATTTATTTTTACTCATTTTAAGAACAATAGAAAGAGTTAAACCCATTTGTGCACTCAATAATTCATACTGAAATTCTATCTGGTCTGATGGAGGGGAGCTTGGGTGAAAGATCTTACCAAATTAGAACAAAAAACATCTATGCTATTAAAAGTATGTATTGAGAATATAAGACAAAATCTTTATACTGAAGTTTAAGACATAAACATTGATGTTATAAACAAAATCTTTTTTCAAAATTAAGTTATCTTAGAACATTGTGAACCTTTAAGGCCAGCCTATGTTTGTTTTGGATAGAATACTTTAAACAATTTGACTTAAACGAACCCATAACTACCAAAGGCTATGGAAAACCTAAATCATGGTAATAATGGACACATTGCAAAGAATTAATCTCATATTTATGGACTGCTGAACTCTGAGCTTACCTGGCTACAGTAACAACTTGGCTATTAATGTCTTGTAAACAAGAAGTAATTTTTTTTGGTAAGGAACTTCCTATTCTCACCAACACTTGCCTATACTTTCACTCACACAGTTTTACCACCTTAGACAGTGGAGGAATACAGGAACTTTAAAATCTTGTCTTTACAGAAATCATAATGAAAAGCCATGGATTCAATCTCCTCTGCAATCTAAGTGGCTGCTGATGACCAAGTTGTGTGCAACAGGACCATTGATTTAAAATATATATATAAATAAAACTTTTCAAGACAACAAGCTATTTTGGAAGGAAAGCTACATATAAAATATTTTAAGCTAAAATATCCTGCAGTAAAGTTAAAACATGTTATAAATTCAACAGAAAACTTCAGGCGAGCAGGTATTGACATGCCTTACATAATTTGTGAGGCACAAACAAAAAGCTGGGTGCATTCTATCTGGGAAGTTATATCTGCCATGACTTATTGTTCTTACATGCTTTTTTTTTTTTTTTCTCTAAAACTACAGTAGGGATTCTGAAGTAAGAAACACTTACTGATAAAATAGTTCTCCCGATGTACTATAGTGCAAAGTAGCAAGGATTTTTCTAGGCTTATCTAGTAATCTAGCTTGATGATACCTATGAAAGATTCACAGGCATAATTGATGTCACACTCGTTTTCTTCCTTCCATCCCTCTAGACAATAGACAGCTCAGGCTTGAGTGGTGGGAATAGTGAAAATGGTTTGAGTGGTAGCATACACACAAAGTAAAGAGAGTTTACATGTACTTTCTAAGGTTTATACTTAGCCTGGTTGAACACGTAATATTTTCCACAGACAGCAACATTGCATGCTTTCCATAGGCTGCTCAAACAATGTGCATCAACCCTAAACTGGAGGGACCATCTTTACGAATGACAAATAGTACAGTGCCCATACCCACCATTCAATCTTTGGCCTGTCCACTCAGACTGCCCACAAGGGTGCCAATCAGAGTATTTTTGGGACGTATTTTTGGCACTGCAAGGAGATCATTAGTTCATTTCATGTAGATAGTATAATAGAAAGTAACTTTCTGTCAGTACCACTCTGCATTGAACTTGAAGCAAAAGGATGGGGTGAAAAACTCCAATATTCTACTTCCAATCCCCTATCCATTCAGTCTCCTAAGTATTGTTTAGAAATCCAAAGCATCAGACACCTTGAATATTTTTATTCACTAATATAGCTATATTTTAGTCATTTCAGCTTTAAATTCTGATATCCACTCTTCCAATGTACTTTAAAGCCCGTGGGACCCAACCACTTTTTTCTCCTGAAACATTCCTTCTTCCCCCCCACCCCCACATAAACTACTTTGCCTTAGGGATTCCCTAAGATTCTCCATGCCTTTAAATCTGCCTCATCTTAATTTTCTAAAATGAGGCTCAGAAAATGGGAGGGTTAAATCTTAAACTAGCATACTTAATACCGCAGCTGCAGTGTGGTCAGGCCTGCTGACGACAATTCCAGGCTGCAGGGCAGAACAGTCAATGGGCCCCCACGCACGCACAAGCCGCGCCTGTGTGGATATGGTCCACCTGACATTTGGGCGGTGCTGCGCCTGTGCTGGCTGGTGCCCTGCGAGCTGCAGGCTGCGCTGCTGGTGCACTCTTCTGGCATGGCCAGGGCATCCACATGCCCGCCCAGTAGGATTGGGTGAGTTTGGGTGTGGTGGTGGTGTTGGGGGGTTAGGGGTTGGGCTCTGGGAGGGAGTGTGGGTGCGGGAGGGGATGCGGGGTGCGGGCTCTGGGAGGGAGTTTGGGTGAGGGAGTGGGTGCGGGGTGCAGGCTCTAGGCTGGGGCAGGGGTTTGGGGTGCAGGAGGGGGCCAAGGGGTCAGTGCTTACCTTGGGAGGCTCCCGAAAGCGGCCGGCACACCTCTCTGGCAGTGGCTCCTAGGCGGGGAGCCCAGGGGGTCTCTGCGTGCCACTGCCTGCAGGCACCGCCCCCACAGCTCCCACTGGCTGCAGTTCCTAGCCAATGGGAGCGGTGGAGTCGACACTCAGGCCGGGGACAGTGTGCAGAGACCCTCCTCCCAAGGTGCTGCAGGGACGTGCCGCTGGCCACTTCCGGGAGCAGTGCAGAACAAGGGCGGGCAGGAAGCCTGCTTTAGCTTTGCTGTGCTGCCAGTGGCGCCTCCCCCCCCCCGGGGCCTTTTAAACCGCCCGGGCCCCTGGGCAATTGCCCCCTTTGCCCTTCCCACCCCCCACCCCCCGTCGGCTGGCCAGAGTGTGCTTCTAGCAAAGTGCAGAAATATCAAGAGCGCCATCCTTCAAAATAAGCAACAGAGGGCCCTGTGGCACCCTTGAGATTAACAGAAGTATAGGGAGCATAAGCTTTCGTGGGTAAGAACCTCACTTCCTGACTTGCATCTGAAGAAGTGAGGTTCTTACCCACGAAAG